TATTTTATCTTTTTCGATGACTTAGTCATCCAAATGACATATCTTCATCTCTTTTATTTGAAAGGCGATTCGGAAATTCTTTGGTTAGCTATTCGGTCGTGGCTTATACGAGCTTATTTAATTTGTTCTTCTATTAAAATGCAACACACCATGCCAACTTCCTTCGTCTTTTGAGGATCAGAGCTGGATTATCATTTCTCATTTAACAGGATGCGTCAAAAGTATTATTACTAGAAAGTCAATAAACACATTATGACGAAATTTAGTCGAGTCAAATAAACCGTCTGTTTCAACAATGATTTTAAATTAAATTTGATGAGTATTCCATATTAAAGGAGAAGAAATGTATTGGGAATGGCAACAGAGTCTCAAGTATACTAAAATCGGGATTCTCATTTACTCTCAATTGGTTGCATACGATTTAGGGTTATCACGGTGCTAGAATGAATGCTTGCAAACGTGTAATTGCTCTAAAACCCATGCATAAATCTCGGTAAAGTTTATATTCTTGTGCGCTTTAGCAATTCGCATACGTGAGTATGCAGATATGGATAAGAGCAATGGTCTGAATTTCGACATTATTACAATCTAGAAATAGCTCAGCATCACAGGCCCCTTGCTAACAAAATCTATATTTTCTCACCTTGGGTGATGGTACGATGGAGAATGTGCCAACAATGCGGTCAGGATATTCCTCACGTATTCTGGATAGCATCAGAGTTCCCATGCCAGAGCCTGTGCCACCACCAAGTGAGTGGCCCAACTGAAACCCCTGCAAACAGTCGCAGGCCTCAGCTTCTCTCCGAGTGACATCCAATACCGTCTCAACCAACTCAGCTCCTTCAGTATAGTGTCCTTTAGCCCAATTGTTTCCGGCTCCGTTGTCGCCCGAAATAAAGTTATCGGGCCGAAAGAGTTGACCCATTGGACCCGAGCGGACAGTATCCATGGTTCCAGGCTCCAGATCCACGAGAATGGCCCTAGGTACATATTTTCCTCCGGCAGCCTCGTTGAAGTAGACATTTATACGTTCTAACTGGAGGTCAGAGTCACCGCGATATTCTCCTATCACATCGAGGCCATGTTCGTCAGATATTACCTCCCAAAACTTTAAGATAAGGAAGAACTTCTTGGTTAACTTCTTGGATCTCAGGATATTTATAATTTATTAGGTTAATTCTTGACATAGAATGTAACTGATTATAAATAGAGCTTAGTTTGTTAAAATAAGCTTGCAATACTGGTCATAATAAACAAAATTGTGTAATTAACAGTGGTTTTATCCTCTATGCCTGAAGCTTACCTTTATGCCGACTTGGTTACCACATTGGCCTGCCTGAAGGTGAATAATCTCTCTCATGATCAAGAATTTTGCTAAATAGGATGGGAAAATGTGAGAAGAGTAGCAGGAACCCTTGAAAGTGTAATGAGCACACAATATTCAAAAGTATTGTGAGAGTTCGATATACTACTCCTTTGGAAAAGGATCGATCGTTTGCCCCGTTTTCGAAAAGATGACAATTTGCCACAATGGCACTAGGTGTTGCTCTCTAAGGGTTGCTTTAAACAAATAATATGTACAGTTAGATTCGCTAATAAAATACAAGTTCTGAAATTTGCTCAGATTTGACGCAGTAACGTAATCATATAAACAATTAACCAATATGGAAGATAGGCTAAACTTCTTTGGTACAAGGGCCAATGCTTATACTTTAAATGATGTGATATAGCCCAATGAGCTAAGTATCTTGATCTCAATAGAAGACAACCTGCTGCTGCCTTATGATGCTTGAAGGATAAGGATAACGCAAGCTTAGAGACAACCTTTCTCAGTTCTGAAGAAATCGTGCCAAGCTTTGTCTTGCTGTTTGGTAGACATCGTCATATCCAGGCATCGTCTTTCAGTGGAAATAAAATCCCGAGGACAAAATGACCTATCATTACTTTCTACAAATAAACTTCAGAACAAAGTTTGAGTGAAATATCGAGAGCTTTGTTTTGTCTACTTTTAGATCAAGGGGGTATTAATAAAACCTAGGTGAGTATGGCACTGTAATTCACCCTGAATTAGAACTGGACTTTGAGGGATATGGCAAAAGGGAATACATTGTAAAACTCAAACAATCTCTTAGATTCGTTGCGGATAGAATTGCTCTGAGACATAAAAAACCAGTAGAAGTGAAATTTTTTGGCATTTTCCAGTCAGTTAAGGGTGTCCGTAAATTGCTTAGCATCCCTCCTAGGTATTTAAAATATATAATGATCTTTAAACTCGGAGAAACTTCCCACTACTATTGCTTTACAAATGAGATTTATTTGGTTGTGTTGACGAGCTTTGTGTGAAATATAATAATCTGAATGTTTTATGCCTTAAAACAAAAATATAAGGAAAACTTAATCGCTTCTTCTTACGGTCTATCATTCAAATACCAGCAATCTTTGTATGGACTCCCACCCGGAATCTTTTGCATAAAATTTGTTGCCTAATCCATTTATCCCATCAGTTTTAATTATTTTTCGCTCTTAAAAAATTGCCGTGTTCAGATAAATGGTAGGTTTAAAGCCAATCCATCTCATTGTTGTCGTTAAGTGCTATAGTCCCTCTACTTAGACAAAAAATGGTAATTTTCTCATTAATGCCATGTACTTTGTCGTGCTTTTCTGTGCTTCTTGTGATAGTTAAACGACATAACTCGAGCATTCAGAATTTCAAAAAAATTTATTTTGGAGTTATGTGAGACCATAGATCGACTTTATTTTAAACCTTGTCTGGGTTCCATCAGTATTGCATGAAGATTGAAATTATGAATATGTTATTATGAATCGCCTTAATTCGCTTGATAAATAGCTTCTTACGTAGATATCAACGGAAGAAGTTGGCCAATACGACCTGGTCTGGTGTCTGTTCACTTTCAGTTAAACGTTTATTGTAACTTACTCTTGAAAGTCCTTCAATTTCGGGAAAAGTTTTATAACGAGGTATGTCATACGTTTTGTTGACGGGATTTTTCTAATGCCTTATTTAATAGTACTAGAAATAATCAATGTGTCAAGGAAAGTTGCTTCAGCTACAAAATATAGGCGATGTGGAAACTGAAGTTTATGTGTATGATGTCCGTCTGATATGAATGGACCCTACGTTTCCACTTAATTTTACGGCCAGGCTCTCCCAAAAGGTATTTTCATCCAGGCTGAAGGGGAATGCAGTCTCGACCTCGCCTAGGTCTAATTAAACCCCTCGCGGTATTTGAAACATGATAGTGCCATGTGTAATCTTGACACGTTAATCACTGCGCCACATTGACAAGAGTTCATCTGGGTCACAGGGCAAATGTGAATATGATCTAATGGTAGTCTCGAAGGCCTACTTATACGCGTAAAACTGCAATTCATTTGAGGAGCAAGGTCGAGAACAACTCAGTTAAGAGATGAAGCTGTATCCTTATTTAATTGAGATACTCTACAATTTAAGGACCAATTATATTGCTACAAAATGGTTATGGCTAGGTAATAAATGATTAGAGTTGTTGTAGGGAGAAATAAACTTCCCAATTTCTTCTGCAATGGGTCTACTTGTACGTATAGAGGAAAGCAGGCAATTACAATTTTAAGTTTTATAGAGATACTTGTTATTATATCCAGTAATCGCGTGGCAATATAAAAACATTATTAATGTCGAAAGCGCTTCTTTAGTTTTTGATAGACACACATATCGAGTTGCATGAGTTGGCAAATAGGAAAAGAAAGTATTATCAACAGGTTAATTCGAGGTCATATTAGTGTATAATTTTGATGAAGAGCACAAATATGAGATAATCGACTTGTTAGGCAATGTTAGAAGCCAAATTTCTAAACAAATCCTATAAATAGCTTAGTTAATATGGAATTATGATTAAGGTTTTTCCGGACAGTTCTATCAGCATAAGGTAGGACATTGCTCTTCGGGTGTTGTGTTATTCACCCAGTTTTAGTCGAGATCTTGGCGCTCCATCGGCTGATCCTTAAGAGCCTATGCTGACCTTACATGCCATATTACATATAGCTGCAGAGCAGGGGGTCATTATTATATCGCGCAAATCCAATAGTATTTAGGCAATACATCTCGATGTGGTCTTCTTCTAATCAGATTTGCCCCTTGTTTGGCTATTTTCTTGCTATTGCAAGCCATTTATCCGGTCTGCACTATTTTGCAAGGGAAACGGATGCATTATTATCCGATTACTTAGCCGAGCATTACCCTTGGACCTCTGCACAGAGCTTCTTCAATCTAGGTGAATCCGTTCCGAGCTATTGACTGTTATTTGGCATATATCATCATCCCTAACGATAATTTATTTAGCATGAAGTCATGTATGGTGGCCGGCTGCAATCTTACCTGCATCTTATAGCCATATTTTGTCCACTTATTGACACATCTCCTGGTTCGTTTGGTTATTCTTAGCTTTCCATGCATGTTTGCAGGGGCTTAAAGTGGTTGCAAATGATGCGCAAAGTAGACACATTTTCGGTCAAGGGGCTCCATCCTCCACCAAATTACAAGTATCATTGATCCTGCAATGTTGATGCATTACAAGTTTAATGTGTGCATGCAATGCTGATGATTTATCTTGGGCGTAAGAGGGCTATTCGGATTTGTGGTTAATCAAGCCTCCTCTTCTTGCTCAAGGGTACATTTTATTATCTTTCTCTCTTCAACCATATTCAATAGCCACGAGTAATTTCCACGGTGAATAGATTTCGCCATACAACTCTGAAGCAAATATTTT